CATGTTAAATATCTTCCGATCCGCCTGACGGCTGGCAGCCATGCTAGTGGACCATCCAGCTTTCCTGACGCAACGTCGTTCGGGAGCACTGTCCGTTGTGATCTGACGCATACGGACCAGAGGATTCACTAACCGTGCTTGGCAGCGATGCGCAATTATGTTTTGTTCGACCGACACGGGGGGCTCTGCCCAGCGGGGTTGACGCACGTACTGTGGTGTGCGCTCGTGGATCGAGCATCACACATTTCTTGATTCGACTTCCTCTCGTTTCACGCTGGCGGTTGGGACGCCTGTCGGGTTTTCGCATTGTGCTCTCGTGGATTCCTCTCTACAGGAATAAGCATCGATCTCAACTACTGTAGCAGAGCGTCGTCGCGGATCACTTCTCATGGGACACGGGGCGCGGCGAGAAACTGCGGGGGTCTCCACCATCGATGCGCGAGGTGCTCCGCGCACAGCTCCAGGCCCTGAGGGAGGAGGTGCGCAGCGCTCGGCTGGAGGCGCCCCCGCCAAGCGGGCTGGCAGGGCAGGGCGAGGGCGAGGACGAGGACCATGGATCGGGCGAGAGCTGTCGGGCGGACCGGAAGGGGGTGGGGGGCAAGAAGTGTGGTGGGATCGAGGATCGCGGGAAAGTGGCCTTTTAGGCCACCCAGATGGCCCTTGAATTGCCACCGCGGGCCCAGAAGGTGCACGAAAGGTGCGCGTTTCTTCATTCCGCGTTTCTCGCCCCCGTCAGCGAACACCCGAGACTGGTGGATACATCAGGAGGGATGCGTATAGGGTTTAAGGGGTATAGGGGGGGGAGGAGGAGGAGGAGGAGGAGGAGGAGGAGGAGGAGGAGGAGGAGGAGGAAGAGGAGGAGGAGGAAGAGGAAGAGGATGAGGAAGAGGAGGAGGAGGAGGAAGAGGAGGAGGAGGATGAGGAGGTGGAGGAGGAGGAAGAGGAGGAGGAGGAAGAGGAGGAGGATGAGGAAGAGGAGGAAGAAGAGGAGGAGCAGGAGAGAAGGACCAGTGTAAACTCAAGACTCGTCACCAATGTTGGAATATACCCTCCCTCTAATCTCCCTCTTCACAGGCCCCTGCAATGGTTGATTTCCACTGAGGGAAATGCCTCGTTGGGAGACACACGTTTGAAGGCCCTTAAGCATGCCAAAACACCATTCTCGGGACTACAACGCCACGGGTCAACCTGACTGTTGCGTCTTGACGATGCTGAATCGCGCCAGAACATCATTCCTGGGACTTCAACACCGCGAAGCAACGCAACTGTTGCACCCTCACAATCCTAAGCCTTTCCAAAACACCGTTTCTGATACGTCGACCGTGGCAATTCGTGAAACTCTTGCATCGTTTTTGAACAAATGTGCGCGGCGCTAAAGCGAGAGCAACATTCTGAAACCGAATCGCCCTCAATCCGTGACGCTCTTGCACTTTTTGAAAGCGAATGTGCGCGGCGCTCAGGCGAGAGCCACATTTTGAAAACGGTTCACCCTCAATTCGTGAAGGTCTTGCAATTCAAAAAACGAATGTGCGCGGCGCTCATTCGAGAGCCACATTTTCAAAACGGCCCGCCTTCAAGCCGTGAAGCTTTTGCATATTTTTAGGACGAATGTGCGCGGCGCTTAGGCGAGACCCACGTTTTGAAAACCACCCACCTCTATTTGCGAAGCTGTTGCCAATGTTTGAGCTTTAGGGTCATAATTTGTGAGGAAATCTCAGACGGAACGTCTGACCCGCCCTTTCGACTGGCCTCGGGGTGCGACTGGGAGGAGTTGTTTATAAGGAAACGGAATGGAGGAAGAGCAGGAAAAGGAGGAGGAGGAGGAGGAGGATGAGGAGAAGGACACGGAGGAGGACGACGACGAAGAGGTGGGCCAGGGAAAGGATGGGGCCCTCGTGGAGGAATATCGGAGGACTGCAATGGGGACGACGAAATCAGTGATCGGGACAGGAGGAAGAGACGCGCCCATTCATCCTCCTCTGGTGCTTTCTGTCTCTTTGGTTGTTTTTTGGACTCTTTACGCTCGGCCCGTGGGTTGCGCCCATGGGTCGTCCTTGGGGTGCGAGGATCTTGCGCAGCCTTAGGTTGCGTCCGTCGGTCGCGCCATCGGTTGCGACCATGGGTTGCGCCAGGGAGTGCGATGATCTTGCGTGGTCCTGGGTTCCGCCCGTTGCTGCGCACGTGGGTTGCGCCGGCGGGTGCGAAGAGCTTTGTGGTCACAGGTTACGCCCATGGTTTGCGCCTTGGTGCGAGGAGTTGACCCAAGCAGGATTTTCGGTGCCTTCCTTGCGCCATGCAGACTGCATCGCATGTATCGCAACCGCAGATATTGAAAGCCACGGTTTCGGGTCCACGCTGGGGTCCCACTTACAGTGCCCTTGCACGTCCATTTCCACTGACAGTGTTTCGCTACCGAAGGCATTCAGGACCATGTTTTGCCGGAGTGCACGGTGCCCATTTGTTAATCCTTTCGCCTTCGTGGGGTTGGTTTTCGGCAGTGCGTTCGCGAGCGCTCTGCGTGCCGTGCTCCCCTTTTTTTGGGTGTCGCGGCATTACTGGTGGCCCCAAAGGGCCCAATAGGTGGACGACGCGGCTCCAGAGGGGCTGCGCGGCTCTTCCATCTTTCGGTAGGCACGCCAGGTCTTTTCAGGGGGCCGACGCGTCGTCCAGGCGCCCCAGTTTGGGCCATGAGCCCAGCGGACAAAGCAGAGGCGCTGGCCCGGATCCGCAGTGTGAAATGCACCAGTCGTGCTTACGCTTCGTGATCGTCGTCGTCTTTGCCCTCGTCTCCACCCGTGCTTCTCATCCACTTCTTCCTCTTCCTCCACATGTTCTTACGGCAATTCCTGCCGTTCTTGATCCAGCCCCCCTTTCTGCTCCTCCTCCCCGTCCTCTCCCCGCCTCCTCTGGGTCTTCGTCGCTCTCGTCGGGCTTCTTCTCTTCCCTTTCCCTTCCTCTCATCCCTCAACGCATCCTCTTTCTCCCACCCTCTCTTCCTCCTCATTCTCGTCCTCCTCCGCATCCGCATCCCGTATCCTCATCTCGCATGATCCTGCACCTCCCTCCTTCTCCTCCTCGTCTGCTCATCTCCCCTCCCCCATTCTCCTGTCTTCGGCAGTGTTTTTGAGTTTTTTGTTGTGTGTGTGTATTCATGTCTGTTGTTCTGTTGTCATTGTTGCTGTTTTGTTATTTCCCTTTGGTCTCCCCACAATCCTCCCTCCTGCTCCTCCTGCTGCTGCTCCTTCTTCTCCTTCTCCTACGCATACTACATACAACCCCCCCTCCTTGGTGCCATCTTCCTCTTCCTCCGCATATAACCTCTTTCTACTCGTCATCGTCATTGTCGTCGTCGTCGTCGTCGTCCTCTTCATTCCTTTCCTCGCCTCCACAACCACACGGTATCAATGTACACCAGTACGAGTTTTCTCTCCCCCTGAAACTGTCCAGTGCTGCGCCGCCCTGGTGTGGTATCTCATTATTTTGGTTTGTGATCGGAACGTTCTCGGCCCTTCACATATGGTCCCCTCCTGCCAGCTTTGGCCGCATTTCAGGATCGGTGTTTTGTTCCCGCCGTTCAGAACGGCGCTCTCGCAACAGCGACGGGCACATTTCTGGATCCAAGTCCTTGCTCGTCTTTACCACCCCTCCTTTTTTCCACCCCGCGTTCCGCCGATCATCCTTCTTCTCCTGCCCGTACTCCTCCTGCTCCTCCTGCTGCTGATCATGCTTCTCATCTTTCCTCATCCGCCTCCTCTGCCTGCTCATCCTTCTGCTCATCCGCCGCATCACTCCCCTCCAATGTGCAAGGCCTCTCTCGTCTGTTTGCGCATCACACGGTGGGGCCGTTTTGGGTATCAAGGTAAGCTAGGACCCTGGTCTGCGGAAGGATTTCCGCACGCGAGCGCGCCTAGATTTCCTTAACCCCTCTCCTTTATCATTCATTTCCTCATTCTCTTCCTTCCCTCCTTCCCCACCCATCCTCTTCCTTTCTCCTCCCCTACTTATCTTCGTACTCGTCGCCATCCTCGTCAGCCCCCTCGCCGTCCTTTTTCTTCTGCCGCCTTTCTTCTGTCCCTTTTTGTCCTCCTCCTTCTCCTCCTCCTCCTCCTCCTCTCATTCCTCCTCGTCCTCCTTCTCCCCCCCCTCGTCCTCCTCTTCCCCCGGCTCTCCTTCCTCCCCCTTCCTCCTCGTCCTCCCTTCTCCTCCTCCTCCTCCTCCTCCTCCTCCTCGTCCCCTTTCCTCCGGTTCCCCTCCGCCCCCGCAGGCGCATCCCTCTCCCCCCCGTCGCCCCCCGCGCGCTGGATGCGGGGGGTGGCGAGGGCCAGCGGCGGGAGGTCTGCGAAGAGCAGAGGGCGCGGGAGGGAGGGAGGAGGGGAGAGGAGGAAGAGGGAGGGAGCGAGAGAGAGAGAGAGAGCTCGAGAAGGAGGAAGCTCAGGCGATCACAGCTGTCAAGGCACAGCTGGACAGGCGGCCGCGCAGGCGATGAGGAGATGTGGACTCCGCGCACGCGGTGTGGGATCGCAGCGTTGGTACACCAAACAGCGTGACCTGAAGCTCTACGGCCCTATGGAATGCATGGCAGCCTGGTGCGAGCGTTGCAATGCAGCTATCGACTCCAGCATGCGTGTGCTCAGTTGCTGTGGTGGATCGGCAGCGTTAGCTGGCACATTATTGCTAGCATGGGGTGGCACATGCGGCAGCGAACCTAGATCTGGCCGCAGCAGGTTGGACATGAAGGCGTTCTGAGCGTGCGCAGATGGGGGATCGGTGCGAGAGGGAGGCTCCTGAGTTTCACATGCGATGTTGCGGAAAGATGCCGGAGCCGTAGGCGCTCGCATAGTGGACGCGCGCGGAGCCGCCTGTTGAAACAGTTTGCAGAAAAGGCTGCAAGTGCTGGCTCAGCAGAAGTTGGATCTCCGCTTCGACGCCGTCCTTGACCCGGTCCTGCGGGTCCCTCCGACCACAAGCCGCTTCGCTTGCGCTGCCAGAAGAGACGTCAACACCAGCCCATGGCATCTGCTGGAAGGCACCCGCTGTGGCAGCGGCACCCTGGCGGGGAAGCGTGTCCTCCTCCAGCGTCCCCGTGATAGCGCCGTTCTTGAGCCGGCCCAGCACAGCTGGGCGCTCGGTGATGGCTGCGAAGCGTTTGGCGATCGTCGGGAGAGAGACGATGCGGTGGAGCAGCGGCTCCTCCGCCAGCGGCAGTCGCAGGCACTTCCGCCCGCGCCGCCAGGAGTGCGCCCCCCCCCAGGAATGCGGCGCCGAGCTTCGACGCCCCACGGCCGCGGTGCTCCGTGCCCGATCAGGGCGCGGAGCTCCGCCTGTACCGCCCGCGCCCGCGCCCGCCTGGCCTGGGCGCTGCGCCGGGCGGCCGCGCGTCCAGGCATGACAAAGAGCCTCAACCCGAGCTGGGTGGATTTTTCCGGGGGGCCCTCCTCCTCCTCCTCCTCCTCCTCCTCCTCCTCCTCCTCCTCCTCCTCGGGGGAGAGCCTACCGACCTCGACATGAGTGCTGTGGTCGTGGTTGTGGTCGACTTGGTCGTCCTGGACGCCCACATCGGCCACAGCCAGTGCTAAGCTGGTTTCGATGTTCTGACGGCTGCTGCCATTCGCAAGACATCTCCGAGGGCGTGTCCTCGATGCGGTTGTGGTCACTTGCAGTGCTGCGAGGGGCGCAGCGGCCGCCCCACCACCTGACACCACGGCGCCGCCATCGCTCAACATCGTCTGCTCCTGGCTTGGCATCGCTCGGACGTGTGCATTTTTTCTCGGCGAGGCCCATCGAGGACCATCCTGGACCATCGAGCAAAACAAACACGCACGAAACCGAAAAATGCACGGGAAATGGACGTCCGGGCGACGGCAAGCTGAGGTCTGGGTGCTGCATTTTTTGCACACCAGGCGTTTTCGACCGGTTGCGGGCCTCGGGGACATCACAGATCGATCAGGTTCGATACGTGCCACAGAAAGATGGGGTCTCGGGCTCTGGTCGTGATTTTTCGCGATGCTGCATGTTATCAATGTCGGATCTCAGGGAACCCATCCCTGTCCCCACATGGCCACGGTATCTCAGCCCCACCTGCTCATCCTGCCCAGGTGGGGACTGGCTGCGCGAAGCCCGAAAAAGCAGACATGTCTCCCCATCTAGGTAGGTAAGTTGGCCAGTGGAGCCAAAGCCACGCCAGTAGGGAGGGATCGGCTGAACGATGCTCAATTGCGCGGGGGGAAGGGGCGGAGGGGAGAGCGGCAGAAAGAGGGCAAGAGAGAAAGAGAAAGGAGAGAGGAGAGAGGAGAAAGTATGTATAGTTGTCGTCGGAGTAGTGGGGAGGGCGGTACGGAGAGAAGGGGGACCGCGAGGGGTGGCGGGAAGAGCAGATAGTGGACCCCCTCCCGCTGGCGCCCAGTGCGCGCGCCAGGCTCGCGCCAAGATGCGGGCGCAGCCTGGGTGCGCTGGAGCTGCGCGGGCGTAAGCGTGCTGCCCGGAGGCTGGACAGAAGCGCCTGCCTGCCGAAGAAACGCGGAGTGCCATGATGATGCACGGACGCTTTCGGAGGATTCTTGAGGATCCCAGATTCGGCGAACGCCAGAGGTTTCCGAGGATTTCCCATGTGTCCTAGGGGTCTCCAGACGTCTTTGAAGGTTTCGGGGCGTGTTCTGTAAGTTTTTGGTGAGTGGGCGAGTGGGAGAGGGATGAGGCGGAGGACGATTGGGAGGAGCTTTTGGAGGGGCCTCTGGATGAGGCGGAGGGCGAGTAGGAGGAATGTTCGCTTCGAGCGTGGGAGGGACGTCTGGCAGTCTTGGGCTGGCGGGCGGTGCGTGCTCTGGCTCAGTCTTTCATAGTCCTGGTCTCCTGTGTGTGCCAGCATGCGCACGCGCACTTGAGCGTGGCCGTGCGTATGACTGTCTACACATGTGGGCGTGTGCCTGCGTATTAGGTGCAGTGTTGATTCTTCACGCTTCACATATCCCCACCCGCCCATTCATAAACCCTGCCCATCAGAGTTGTCGGGAAAAAGGACGAAGAGACATATGTAGTGAAACAGAGCGGGCAACCAGGGTGAACAGAGAACTCTCTGGGAACAAGGCGGTGACCTGGGAGAGCCTCTTCGGGCCATCCCTGGGGCCCGCGTGGGGGCGAGGGGAGGAGGAGGAGAGGAGGAGGAGGAGGAGAGGAGGAGGAGGAGGGAGGAGGAGGAGGAGAGGAAGGAGGAAGAGGAGGAGGAAGACGACGACGACGACCACGACGACGAGGAAGAGGAGGAAAAGGGAAGGCGATGAGGGCAAGGACGATGAGGAGGAGGAGAGGAGGAGGAGGAGGAGGAGGAGGAGGAGGAGGAGGAGGAGGAGGAGGAGGAGGAGGAGGAGGAGGAGGAGGAGGAGGAGGAGGAGAAAGAGGAGGACAACGAGGACGAAGACAGGGTCCTCAACAATCGCCTCTTGGAGTCCTCTTGGGCTCTTTTGGGGGTCTTGAGGCCCTCTTGGGACCCTTTTGGAGCACTCCTGGGGGTCCCTTGGGAGCCCTGGTTCCTTGTTCCTGATGGCAGGAGGTGCCTGCGGGTGCTGCCCTCCCTGGGAGCCCTGGAGGGCCTCTTGGGGCTGTCTTGTAGGACATCGATCAAAAGGGGGGTGTCCTAAGCTTGCCTCCCCACCCGGGGCCCTGGGGCCGTCAAAATCGCCTCTTGGGGCCCTCTTGGAGCAGTCTTGGGGCGCTCTTGGGTGCTCTTGAGGTCATTTGGGGGGCCTCATGGGCCTCTCTTGGGCCTCTCTTTGGCCATATTGGGGCCATCTTTAAGGCTTCGAGACCGCATCGGAGGCCAAAAGTTGAGAAGGCCAAGACCATGGATTTTCCTTGGGTGTTTGAACGAGTTTGGCTTCCTGGGAAGGTCTTGATGGGGGGGTCCGAGAGCACTTGGAGCTGTCTTGTGACCTTCGTCGGGCCTCTTGGAGGTATGTCGAATGCTGTGTTGAACAATCGTCGGCTATCGTAGGCCATCTTGGAGGCCATCTTGGGGCATCGGACGCCCTTTTGGGGCCATCTTGGGCCATCTTGGACGCTCTAACGCCTCGCGAACCCCTCCAAAAAACAGCCGGGGAGGGTGGGGAAAGGTAAACCTCCCGGGACGGACGAGGTTATTGGAACTGGAAAGGAAGACCTCGTTGGACCACCTTCGCCCAACGGGCTGGTGGGACTTTTTCAGGGAGCAGGGCCGTTGTGCACAAAAGCACCTGGTTCGGCGGGCCAGCGTCCATCTTACCTTTGCCTTCGTTTCAGCATCAGGCTCATCCGAGGGACACGTGGGCACGCATCACCAAGTACACTATCGCAAGGTTCATCGCCGTCCTCGTCGCCACGACCACTACGATAACCTCTACCCCTCCCTGCTGGACAGCCGCGCCCTGACGGCGCCTTGGCAAGATCTGGCGAACATCACATGCGAGCTTGCGTGTACCAAGGCGTAGGAGAACTGCGACCGCTGTGACCGCGCAGTGCCTCGGGGATCTTCTGCTGTACCCTCTGTTCCGACGCAGCGCGAGCGTTGGCTCCGCGGCGCGTCCGAGGGCGGGGCCAGGGAGGGGTGGGGAGGCGAGGGAGGGAGACACAACCTCTGCCGCCACCGCCTCCCTGCCGCTCGCCATCTTCCGGGCTTCGGCCGCAGGGCGCGGCAGTGCAGCGCTCGACGGGGCCGCGCGCAGCGCCCGCTGCCGGCCCGGCTCCGCCGCACGCCGCTCCAGCGCCCCGCGGCGCCCCTCGCTGGCCCGCCCGCAAGCACAGCCCTGGCGGGCGCCGCGCCGCGGCCACTGCGCGGCGCGCCGCGTCGCGCGCGCACGCCAGGCGGCTGCGTGCGCGGCGCAGCGCAGCGCCGCGCTGCGCGGCGCAGGCGCTCGGCGCTCCTGAGCTCTGGACCCCTTCCCCACGACCGTGCAGTACTAAAGCATGGCAGCCTGGTGTACCCTCGCAATTCTGCCTTTAGCGTCGATTGGCGTCCACGAACGTTTGGGAGTCGATGAGACAGCGCCGATTTGGCGTCGGATAGCATCGATTAGCGTCGATTTAGCGTCGATTAGCGTCGATTTAGCGTCGACCAGCGTCGATTCACAAGAGCCGACAAGACGGTGTGGGAGGCTCCCATGAGTTGCCACCGAACCGCGACCGGCTTTTCATCCCGAGTCGTTCTTTGGCGACCCCAGGGCTCGGTGAGGGCTCAAGCCGTTTCGGCGGCGAAATCCGAACCCTACCCTCGCCGATCAGCGAGTCAGGCAATTTGATGGGCGGCGGGGTTGGGGTTCGGAAGCTTTTGGATAGTGTGTCGCTCCGCTGGTGCTGGACCACCGCGCTTCGGCGCGACACGCTATCCATTTCCCGGCCCCCAGGCGTCAACGTCCCGAGCATTTCCCAGCCGACACGCTATCCGCTCGCACGGCACAGCGTGCCTGGTCCGCCGCCGCGACACGCCGAGCAAAAGTTCCCGATCCTACAGGCTTCGGAATCCGTCGAGCGCGTGGCGAAATCCGAACCCCGCCTCCCCCGCCTCCCATCGATGCAGGAGCACCGATGGGTGGTGGGGGGCAGGGCTCGGCTGTCGCCACCAAGGCGCGCCGCATGCCGGCCGCGGGCGGCGGCGGCCGCCGCAGGAGGCACGGCAAGCCCCTGGCCGCCCCGCTGCTGGCATCGGTGCTGCTCCTGGTGCTGCCCGCGGTCGCGTGGTGGCGGCGGGAGGTCAGGGCGGCCATCGGGCTGCGCCTCGGCCGCCACCTCGGGCGCCAGGGGGGGGGGACTGGAAGCGCTCCTCCCGACCCCCTTTCGTCGGGTGCTGCTAGAGCAGGTCCTTCTCGCGTCATTTTGGAGCCCCTTGGGCCCTCTGAGCCTCGCGAGGGGTGCTCTGGAGACCGTCTGGGCCTCCCCAGGAATCCTGGGGACGCCCTGGGCCAGGGGCACCTTTGGCAACACCCGACCACAGGCACAGGCAGGGGCGGCAGGCTGGTGCTCTCAGCGAGGGTGATGGATGATGAGGAGGGCTGTGGACGAGGAGGTTCTAGATCGGCCTTTCAGCCCCCGCCCCCGCTCACATCAAACCCATCCCCATCCAGTTTTGCGATGCACAGCCTTTCCCAGAAGCAAAACACCCTTGCAGCAGATCAAGCAAGCTGAACGTTGCCGTGTGCAATTGCACCCAGGGACACTCCTCCCACAGCTGGCGGGTCGGGGAATGGCGCGGCCAGACGGCGGCCAGCAGCCCCTCCTTGGCCTGGCCCTCAGAGATCTCGGACCAGCGGCCGCCGTCCTTTCGGCCCAACCGAGGAGGAGGAGGAGGAGGAGGAGGAGGAGGAGGAGGAGGAGGAGGAGGAGGAGGATGAGGAGGGGGAGGAGAGAAAAAGGAGCCTTGGTCAGCACTCTCTGTCAGGAGTCTTGTGTTTTGGTCTAACCCGCGAATCAGGCCAGGCCACGCTGGCCACGCGACCAGCCCGCCCCTGGCGCTGCTGGACAGGAGGGCCCTCCTCAAGGCCAATCATGCCGCCGTCAGGCAGCTGCGCGCCAACACCAGCAGTCCTCAGAGCGACCACGATCTGCTCGCCCACCTGCGCGCGGCGTCGCTTAACCACCAGAGCCCCTCCGAGCGGGTGCTCGAGACGGACGCGTGGCGCCGCAGCAGCGGCATCGCCGCGAAGATGTCGGACGCGGAGTGGAGGCGGGCTGAGAGGGATGCCCGCCGCGTTCTGAAATGCGACTTCCTGGGCCTGGACGCGGACTGCCGGCCCGTCCTGGTGCAGCACGTGGGCAGGTGGGACATGTCGGAGGAGGGCCAGTTGAGACAACGGCAGCCTTGCCTTGTTCAGTTTTGAGGCTGATACGGCCCCGACTGTCTCGCCGTGCTTTGGCAGAACACCGTTTTTTGTTCTCGCATGCGGAGCACTTCTGGTTTTGCGTGCCTGCTTTACGTTGCGATTGGACGACGTAGCAGTCTCGCCTCACGGGCTGCGGCCTAATACCCTCCCCTGCTCCCGAGTTGCGCTCCATGATAAGTGCCTGCAACAATAACAGCAGTTTTGAGACAACGGCAGCTCTCCCGTCCGGCCCAAATCCGCTCAGGATCGGTCCCCGGACTGTTCCCAGGGACCCTCCTGGCCGTCTTTTTCGATGCGGATCCAGCCGCGGCGAGGAGAAGCATCCAGGAGGCCCAGACGAGACAGAACCAAACGCCAGGGAGGGCCGCCGTTGTCTCGACTGGCCTTCCTCCGAGCATAGCAGCCGTGGAGCAGGCCGCCGAGGACCTGGACCGATTCGTCATGCTCAACGCCATGATATGCGAGGTGCTACTGCGCATGCCGCGGCCGGCGGGCGCCAAGGACGCGCGCGGCGTCGTCGTGATCATGGACATGGAGGGCCTCGGCACGAGGCACCTCAGCGCCAGGATGCTCCACGCCTTCAAGGCGGTGGCCCACGTCGTGCGGAGGTTCTACCCCGACCTGCTGGCGCACATGTTCGTCGTGAACGCGCCGTGGGCGTTCGTGCTGCTGAAGGCCCGCTGTCGCCGCCCCTGTGAGCAGGGGGGCCCAGGAGAAGCCGAGCAGGCCCTCCCTCGGCCAGGCAGCCACAGACCTTGATGGGTCTCGGGCCGTGCTGACCGTTTCCCTGCGCCAGGAGGGGGCTGGGGCCGTCAGGCTTCAAGAGTCCGTTCGCCCGGGCCCGCCCGCACGCCCCGCATGCCCCAGAGGCCTGGCCCCGAGCATTCCTCCCGCCCGCCCGCTCCACAGGCCCCAGCAGAGCCAGGCTCCACGTGTCCCAGAGAGTGCCCCCTTCCGCCTCTTGCAGTGCTTCCGAGCTGCTGCGCGGTACCCCTGCGTCTCCCCGACCGATCCGTGCGAGCGCCAGGTCTCCGCGACCAAAATAAGCTTTCCAGCCAGTCCCGCCCGCCCGCCCCACATGCCCCGACGGCTCAGCCCCGAGCAACACCACACTTTTGAGCACGAGAGATACCATGGTGCCAGCACGGGGACCCCAAGCAGCCGCACCATGAAATCTATGCAGTGGACTCGCTAGGGTGGAATTTTGTGGTGCGCTCCACCTCCAGGTGATGCAGTTCGCCAGACGGAACTAAAATCGTCAACTCCAAGGATCCAGCAAACATCCCACCCACCCACCAGCAATTTGTTAGCAGAACTCAGGAGGGCGTGGATTAAGTTACTCGTCGGAACGTGCCCGCAAATCTCAACAGGCGCAATGACGCGCGGACAATGCGAGTGCAGATCCGTGACTCGAGTGTACAAGTGATCATGTTGACGACGACATCGGGTACGACGGCGATGATCATGCTGGTGATGGTGGTGATGATGACGAAGACCATGACATCGACGACGACGATTACGATGCCGATACCTTCCAGCTGAGAGTGATGATGATGACGATGAGGATGATGACGATGATGATGCTGCTGCTGATGACGCTGATGCTGATGCTAATGCTGCTGCTGATTCTGCTGATGATGCTAATGCTGATTCGAATGCTGATGCGGATGATTATCATGATGCTGCTGCTGCTGATGATGATGAGGATGCTGAGGAGTAGGCGGAGAAGGAGGAGGAAGGAGGTGGAGGAGGAGGAGGAGGCGGATGATGCTGATGATGATGATGATGATGATGATGATGATGACGATGCTGCTGCTGATCATGATGCTGATGATGATGACGATAACGATGCTGATACTGATGCTGATGCTGATTATGACGATGATGGTGATGATGACGATGATGCTGCTGCTGATGATGATGATGGTGGTGGCGGTGGCGGTGGGTGGATGATGATGATGATGATGATGATGATGATGATGATGATGATGATGCTGATGATGCTGATGATGATGATGATGATGATGATGATGATGATGATGATGATGATGAGAGGAGGAGGAGGAGGAGGAGGAGGAGGAGGAAGGAGGAGGAGAAGGAGGAGGAGGAGTGAGAGGAGGAGGAGGAGGAGGAGGAGGAGGAGGAGGAGGAGGAGGAGGAGGAGGAGGAGGAGGAGGAGGAGGAGGAGGGAGGAGGAGGAGGAGGAGGAGGAGAGGAGGAGGAGGGAGGAGGAGGAGGAGGAGGAGGAGGAGGAGGAGGAGGAGGAGGAGGAGGAGGAGGAGGAGGAGGAGGAGGCAGGAGGGAGGAGGAGGAGGAGGAGGAGGAGGGAGGAGGAGGAGGAGGAGGAGGAGGAGGAGGCGGAGGAGGAGGAGGAGGAGGAGGAGGAGGAGGAGGAGGAGGAGGAGGAGGAGGAGGAGGAGGAGGAGGAGGAGGAGGAGGCGGAGGAGGAGGAGGAGGAGGAGGAGGAGGAGGAGGAGGAGGAGGAGGAGGAGGAGGAGGAGGAGGAGGAGGAGGAGGAGGAGGAAGGGAGGAGGAGAAGGAGGAGGAGGAGCAGTAGGAGGAGGAGGAGGAGCAGGAGGAGGAGGAGGAGGATGAGAAGGAGGAGGAGGAGTGAGGGAGGAGGAGGAGGAGGAGGAGGAGGAGGAGGAGGAAGGGAGGAAAGGAGGAGGAGGAGCAGTAGGAGGAGGAGGAGGAGGAGGAGGAGGAGGAGGAGGAGGAGGAGGAGGAGGAGTTGGAGCATGAGGGAGTGAGGGAGAAGGTTGATGATGATGAGGAGGTTTAGTGGAAGGGAGAGGGCGAGGGTGAGAATAAGGATTATGTAGATGCGGGGGAGGAGGACGACGATGACGATCACGAAAAGCTGGACGACGACGCCGAAGGGGCAGGCGGGTCAGAAGTAGGAGAACGCGCGAACTCTGTTTGGGAATAACGGACTCAAGCTATAAGCTTGTGGTTTCGACAAGTGCGTGCGGGCAAAACATGTATGCAGTATTTTGAACGAAGCACCACTAGGCAACACTACGGTGTTCGATCAGATCTCGACATGTGCGCGCGTGGCACGCGCAGCAGCTCTTCTCGGTGGCGAGCCCGGAAGGAAGCGAGAGAGGGCAGGCCTTCCCAGAAGCCGCGAGGGTCTCCGAGAAGCCCCGCGAGACATAGCCAACCTGGGTCTCATTCACAGGACACTTCTCGGCACCGGCGCCGATCTTCCGTGGGAGCCGCTCGCAGAGCCGCTCTTCGGCCCAGGCAGGACCCGCCTGGCCGCCCCGCGGCCTCCTGGCCGCGGCTGGGCTTGCCCCGCCGCGGCAGGCTCGTCACGCGCTGGCGCGGCCGCAGCCGCCAGGGGCCCAGAGCTGGCCGACAGAGCGATCTGCGCTGTCGTCTGGCGGGGCTGGAGAGCATGGGTCAGCATTGTTCTCAGAGCGTGACGGAACGCTCCCAGAGTGTTCTCTAGCGCTTTGGAACAAGCGCGGCGCTTGATGCATCCATCCTCCAGAACCGTCGGATCCCAGAGATCCACGATTTGTCCTGGTCCGGTTCCGTCTTTGGCCTCGTGTTATATCGGAAGGCCGCGATCGTTCCAAGGTCGAACGATGCGTCCGGGGCCAGAGACCTACGCCCACGTCATCGCGGCGTTCACCTGCCGCACCGTGGGGGCCCGCAGCAATGAACCAGATGCTTTTCCGCAGGGCGCCGTAGGATTTTTCGCTTCCTCGGGTGCCTTGGCTTCCCGAGGGCGTGACGAAACTGCTGCGCTCAGGGTGCTCAGGGTTTCCTCCCAAGTGCGCTTCGCGCGAGCAATTCCATGAGACGTCCATGGCGTCAGCCGCCGCGGGGATGTGAAAGGGCCGATGGAGCCGCGCGGTGTGGAGGGAAGGAAACAGAACGAGGAAATCACGAAAGAGAACCTAAATAATGGATCGTGCAGAAAAGGGGGGCGGGACGACACACACAAGGGAAACTAGGGAGGATTGAAGAATGAGAGAGGAGTTGAAAGAGACAGGGAGTGCAAGGGTGATGACGAGGATGGTGCGGATGGGGACAAACGGGGCGAAGAGAAGGAACACCACGAACACTGATGCTTATTGCCAGACGTCAGCAGCCAGGGACGACGACAATCTATGCTTGACATGGCTCTTGCGCACAACACCCACCT